TCCCTACTCAAGGAGGGATAGTTCAACTCTCTCCCCCCAAAACCAACTCCCCAAAAGAGAACACTGCAAAAAAAAAAAAACTGGCCAATATAACATGCTAGAAAGAAATTTGGAATAGAAAATCAAGAGAAATTTAATTTCTACCCCTAGCCTTTATACTGACTAGCCATACAGATTTAAACAATTCTCTTTAACTTAATTCTCAATTTCTACATGTGTTGAATGGAATTCAAACTACTTGAGATTGATGTGGTAAGGATCAAATAGGACAAAATGTGCAAAAATGTTGAAAAGTTAAACATACCATACAACTGCAAGATGCCATTTTAAATTAAGTTAAAATTCACTTCATTTTGAGAATTCTGTTATATTTCTTTGAGATAACCAGAGATAAAGAGGAACTGCAAAACCTGCAAGATTAGGTTGACCATTCTGAATTCACCACATCACTTAATGTGAATGCCTATTTGCTTTGATTTTGTATACTGGTCTAAGAATTCTAACTCTAGCTCTCTTCCTAAATTAATGATATGACACTGGCAAATCTCTTGACCTATCTCAACTACCAATTCAACTCGAACACCAAGTGATTCAAAATGAGGTAGCATACACTCTACGTCCATAGTCTCACAAACCCTTAAGACAACGAACAGGAATGAAGACAATTCGTGTGCACTGGCGGACAGTATGCAATGCATCCATCAAAGCATCTGGTTGCATAGAGGAACTATTCGCCATTTTTAGCAACAACAAGAGGTAAATGGGAGAAAACAAACACTGAAAAGAGCAAGGAATTAGGGGCTGGAAAGGAAGACAGAAAGAAAAGGAAAAGAAAAAAAAACAACAGAATCAGAGATTTAGAGCTAGAAGGGACCGTCTCCTTAACCTCTTCCAACCTCCAACCTCCACATTTTACAGGTGAAGAATCTGAGGCACAGAGAATTTAAGAAGAGATTTGTTCAGGGTCATGTAGCTAGCAAATATCTGGGGTGGGATATGAACCTAGCTCTTCTTAATTCAAAGCCCATGTTCTGTCCACTATTCTATGCTGGTACTCAATTTGGAAAATCAACATTTCATAATATCACACCACATACACAAAGTTTTAATTTAAAAAAATAGCCACTACCATAAATCTCTCAATAGAGAAACAAGGAGACAGAGGAAAATAGTTTCTAGTCTCAAAGGAAATCAAAGTTATTAAAAAGGGATCTTAGAGGCCATCTATTCCTACCAGCTAATCTTGCAGGTAAGGAAATTGAGGTTCAAAGACTTGCAAAATAAAAAGTACTTTGTTAAAAAGAAAAGGAATGTGATGCTGACATTTAGAAAGCAAATTACACACTAAAAATAAGAATATTAAGAGACTAAATGTTTAGAGTACTCCTCCCATTTAGCACAAGAAAAGAGAAGTTTAAAAAAAAGTTCCCTATTCAAACTTAATTCAACAGCCTAAAAAACTACATTAACTAAAACACTTTCTCAATATATTGACCACATACTGTGATTTAAATTACTCTTCAGCCTGCTTTAACTCTTAGTAATTAACATCTTTATAACCAATTACATTGTACTCATGATTGTTCAAAATATCTTGATTAAGAAGAGTACTTCCACTGGTCACTCACTCACTACACAAGAAGTTCAGGATCAGAACTCAAGATCTAATTATTTTTAAAAAAAATTTTTTCCAATTATCAAGCATTTACTTCTTTTCCCTTCAGAATGCAATTATGAGCACATGTCCCAGGCCATCATTCTCGACTTGGTCACGTGTTGTTAACGCTCTTTTTGGTTTATTAGCTTGTTTGGATTAGGGGTGACTACTTCTAGTAAAAGTACAGGCATTCCCAAATGTCTGAAGTGGACGTTAGAACATAATTCATGATCAGAAGTACTTCCATTTTATTACTTTTCAAAAGACTATGCTAGGCAAGATCAGTACAGTTTTATAAAGCTTGTCCATTATTAAGAGAAATAACTACTTAAAACCTTACTTTGGAATTACCACCACTCACATGCAAAATCCATAGCCTATGTTCTTCAGGTTTAGTACAACCTGAATACCCTACAAGGCACTTTGGGCCACTAAAGCACCTATTAGCAAATTGCAGCTAGGTGCTAATGAGTACCCCTTCACCCCAATAGTGTTAACCTAAATGTGCAGAGTATACCATGGTACCCTAGGCCAAAGTAGGCAAATGATTTAAACTACAGTTGTCCCTCAATCACTCACTGGTCTTTCAGTATTTGCCACTCTCCTATGCATCTGGCTCATTTTAGGTTCAAGAGGCATTACAGGCCAAACAAAGGCAGTCATTCCATTATCAACAGTTGGACTACTTTATTCTTAAGAAATAGCATTACATATGGAAATATGTTTTGCATGATGGCATATATATATAACCTATGTCAAACTGCTTACCATCTCAGGGAGGGGAGAAGTGATAGAGGGAAGGAGAAAAATTGAAATTCAAAAAAAAGTTTTTAAAATGTTAAAAATTGTCTTTAAATATAATTGGGAAAAAATAAAATATTATTTAAAAAAGAAATAGCATTATATTTGGATATTTAAAATTTTGCATTATATTTAAGTGATTTGTTTTAAAGTAAAAAGAATATTTTATTACTCCAGGCACAAGTGTGCCACTATTCACAACCAACTTGTAACTATATAATCAATCATACTCAGAATTTATTAAAGAATGTTTACAAATCAATGAGCAAAATAACATTTAATTTTTTAAAAAGCTGCTTTAATAGCTTTACACAACCTGAACCATTTTAATTTTACTTACACTCTTTTCATTAATTTTTATTTTAGTCTGCTGGAATATAATTGTAAGTCTAGGAAAACTGGATGTTTCACAAAAGAAGTGAATCTTGATTTTAAAAGCTACCAAAGCCTCAGCATAACAGCTTTATGCAGATTTTATCATGAGTAAAGATCATTCTTGAAATCTGAGGTGTTATTACTGGAAGCCCCAAGTATCTTTAATATATGCTACAACACAAGCATGGAAAATACCTTTACAATTCAACAATAATATATGTAATGTATTTTGTAAATAGAATGCTTGCCATATATAACTGAACTACTATTATAAGCAAATATAGTGACATCCTTTTCTCTCATATATTACCAGCATTCAACAAACAGCTTTTCTGTAGATAATATCCACTAAACCCCAGTTTTAAGAGCCCTCAGAGGCCAATCCATACCTGAGCAGAAATCCCCTTTACCATCAACATCCCTAAAAACTGACCATCTAGCTTCCACATGAAGAACTCCAACTAAAAAGAATTCACCATCCTGTGAAGCAGATTAGCCCACTTTGGGACAGTTATAATTGTTAGGAAGTTTGTCCCTTTTATGGAGCTCCGAATCTGCCTGAGAAGTGTACAAACCTCCCCCAATTCTGCCTTCTGGGGACAAGTAAAAAAAAAAACAAAACAAATTTACCAACCAATGATTCATATTCTACTTCATTAACATGGCTTTTCCTTGAAGACTCCAAATCTGTGTCCCACTGGCAGCAGAGATTCAATAAAGAGAATGTACCACCTCCTCCTAATCCTCTCCTCCTCCTGATTTTCCCTTTTTGTTGAAGACATATCTTCTTTCTGGTCACTCCAGATTGCAACCTAAGTGTCACTGTCAACTCTTCCCATTCCCTCCTCCCACCCACATCTAATCAGTTACCCAGTATTGACAAATTCTACACCCACTACATATTTGCATTTGACCCCTTTTCTCCACTGCCAAATATACCACCCTAGATCAGGTCTTATTACCATTTGCCTGGATTTTTGCCTTAAAGGTCTTCCTGCCTCATTTCTCTCCTCTCCAATATAGTTGTCAAGTGATCTTCCTAAAGTACAGGTCTGACCACAGCTCCCCTCCTCCAGTTGCCCCCTATTGCCGCTAGGATAAAAATTAAAATTTTTATTTAGGTTTTAAACCCCTAGGTAATATGGCTCCAACCTACCTTCCCAGGATTATTGTGCATTATTCCCTCACGCTATACATTCTATCCAAACTGGCCAACTCATTCTTTCCCTGCATGGGACATTTCCATCTCCCACTTTCACCTCTTAAAATCTCCAGCTTTCTTCAAGTCAGCTGAAACACCAAGAGCTAAGGAAAACTTACCTCAAAACCTAACTCACTAGGACCACACCACCCGCCTCCTGAAGTTATTTTGTATACATGTCTACTTTTCTATGTTAATGTTATTTCCCACTCTGTTAAGGCAGGAACTTTTCAATTTTGTCTTTCACCAACACCAAGCATGGTGCCTGGGAATATAATTGGTGCTTAATAAATGCTTACTGAATGAAGTTTGGTCAGACTCTAAAGCCCTGCAAAGAAAAGATTACTCACAAACCCATTTTGTGAGTGTGGAGAAGACCTAATTCTGAGTTGAGTATATCAGTGCATTCTGGTTAAGTGCTGAGGACTTACACAGGAATAAGCACACCTAAGGTGAACTGACTTGTACTTATGTTTCAGGCATCTTCTAGTACCAGTAAACAAATATTAATATTGAGAACAGTGTTTAATTTCAGAAGGGATTCCCCCAAACAAGTTTTTATTCCGTTTTTCCCACTCTGAGTCAAGGTCATACAGTTTAGTTCCTCTTTCCCCATTAGAACTATATATAGCTGGGTCAATCCAACTCCACTTTACTCAAAAGGAGAAGGAACATTTGTGGTTAGCAGATGTTTGACTCTATTCTAGTAAGAAGACTTCCATTGCATCAAAGCCTTTCTGGTCAAAAGGCCCTCTACCCCAAAGGTAAAGGAACTTGTCATGTCTCTTATCATCCAAGGAATTTCAACGGGATAATATAAACTAGAAGGTGGGTAAAGAACTCAGCCATTGCCTCTAACTACCAGTGAGGCAACTTCTCCCAGTCCAGGACATAGTGGACTGGAAACACAGTAACTTTGTTGAACACAATGTGAATAAAAATCCCACAAAGAACAATGACATGAGGGTGAAGGCTATTAATGTTTTGGTCAGATCTCTGGCCTGGTTAGTAAGGTCAAAATGATCACTGAGGATCATCAATAGGTAATCTAAATTATTATAACAAATTTGCTGCCTCACGTCACAGAAATGATCCTCGGTTCTTAAAGGTTAAGCCAATGTAGTACAAGTTCTAGCAGATTCTAGAATTCTGGAAAGACTTCCAAGTATGATCATAGTAACAAGATTGTGCCTGCTACTCAAAGACCAATCAGGCTTAAGTATGAAGAAGCTCATCAACAGAAGGCTAGCCAGGAGGTAATTTCTTTTTCTGGTCATGGCACCCCAACTATTTCCCTTCGATATAGTCCCATTATCTGACAGTGGTCAATATGACCCCTCTGTCACCTGAACACTCATATCTTAAGCGATGACTTTAGTTTTTGTAGGGTGGAATTCCCAAGGGACCCTCCAAAAGGTTACTGGGATTAGGTTACTAAAAAAAGAAAAGTCATATTGACAATGACTAAAAGTTATTGCAAGTTGTAGGATGTTTTGAGCTCCCTCTATTAGTGAAATGGCTGTTATGTCTTATCTAAAGAGCACATTCTAGTGAGGTGGATCTTAGAATTGAGATGTAATTAAATGCTCTGAAATTTTCTAGATTTAAAAACTTAAAGCAGGAGACACATTTATACAGATTACTAGTGAGCTCTTAAATTTGAGAGGGGTGGGGCAGAATGGAACAGGTAGAAATGATTACTACAGCATTCAGGTAGCATTGTGTAATGGATAAGGGGCCTAGCACTGGAGTAAGACTTGAGTTCACGATCTATTTCTTGATACACACTGGTAGTGCAAATGTAAGTTACAAATTACTTATCAGGAAAAGGAGTTTCTACTAAGAGTTTCCCCACAGCAAAGAAAACATAAGTCTTAACCATGAGTACTCCTCATGCCCTCCTCCCCCCAAAAATACTACCAGACTCTCAACACCACCATTTGTAACAAAAACCCTCTCCTCTCCAACTACTAGGCAAGGTGCTCAGGATCTATACTTACCAATCTCTATAGTGTTTAATATCAGTTTCAAATTAAGGAGGATGAATGGAAGGCTGTATTTGGGCCACACCACAGATACTTTTAAGCGTACTGTAATGCCATTTGGGCTCTGTTATGCCACTTCAGTCTTTGAATATTTCATATTGATTGTATATCACCACAGAGACTATATCTGGACAGTATTCTAATTTATTCAACAAAATCCAACACACAGTCTTTATCCTGTCAGCACTGGTCTGCCTCCAGGTACATAACCAGTACATCAAGTTCAAAGAGTACATATTAACACTTATAAATGTAGAGTTCTATAATCTCTTTATAGACTGGAGAAAAATCTAGCTCAATCTCCCATTCAACAAAGAAATCCTTTCTATAACACTCCTGACAGTCATATAGCCTCTGCTTAAATACTTCCAATGATAAAATCTTCATTCCTTATGAAATCCTTGAAGCAGTCTATTTCTTTGTTCTAATGGAACTTCTACCTGTTGTTCCTAATGTCTGAAGCAATACATAAGAAAAGTACTTCTTCCCACATAAAAGTCCTTTCAAATACTGGAGGCCATCATGTCTCCTCTCCCCTATCATTTTATTTTTCACTATTCCAAGCAAAGTATCTCCAAAACCTTCAACAGTTCTTTTCATAATTTCTACACACTTAACCAACCTGATCATCCTTCTCTGAATGTACTCTAGTTACTAAGACTCTCTTAAAATATGGCACACAGTATTGAATATGATATTGACATTTGTGGGCTGACCGGTGCAGGGTACAATGGAATGATTACTTCCTTTAACTGGGACACATTTTTTTTTTAATCAGCTTCATTAGACTGTTGGTTCACCTTGACCCTAGTAAGCTAACCAAATTCCCAAGCTTTTCGGATATTATCTTACCTCCTTTCCCCACCCAAAGGAATTACAATGGATCTGCAAAATATTCTCCTAGACTGACAACCCAGAGGTAGCTAAGGACTTCACATAGTTCTTGGGATTCTTATTCAATTCACTGTGAAGAAACTTAGGTTTTATAGTCCCTGAAGTACCTTTGAGACACTAAGACACCAATTAGCCCTGATTTGGAGGTAATCAGGGACCAACTATATCTTATGGTCAAAATCTGAAGTACCTATGTCTTGTTAGATCAGTTGGAAGGACACAAAAAGGTGTAATTGTGTCTTTACCTTTTCTGTACATTATCATCTACAGAACTAGGAGAAGAACGATGTGCTAACAAACATATTTAAATTCTGGCAACTTTTCTGAAGGGCTTTAACATCTAAATCATGTTATCATGTGATTGTCAAATCACAACTTGCAGATCACAGAGAGACTACACTGGCTCATTTCTTTATCTTAACTTTCCAATCCACCATATAGGTAGTTTTAGGATAAATAAGCTAATACTGTCAAGGAATCTGTGATACACATCACAGTTGGCAAAAGAAACAACCCTAATCAGCAATCCAGTCCCAACTAAATCTTATAAGGTTAATAATCTACAAGTGATGGTCAACTGGAGCCTTGGCACAGGAGAGGATAATTTCCTCAACAAATCACTCTCTGAAGGGTTGAAGAGTTGTGAGAAAAATAAGAACAGACTACTCCACATTTAATCCAGTGTCTGTCAAAGTAAGAAAGATGCTATCATTTGGGCAACGTGGATTAAGCAAAAGCTTCCACCTCGTCATCTGTAAAGTCTGGTGGTTATGTTCTCATTCAAATTCTGCTCCTACCAAAAGATGGAAGCCATCAATACAGCCCATGACTACGCATCTGATTTTACACAAGGTTTTCAACCTCTATGGAATCCTGGACAAGTTCACATTTGACAGTAAGCATCAATTCAGTTTCTGTTATATACTCTTTTCTGTTTTCCAGCTCAAGATTCATATAACCCTAACAACAACACTGTAAAGAAAAACAACTTTGAAAGACTTAAGAACTCTAATTAATGCAACAAGAAAACTCACCTCCAGGAGACCAACAATGAAGAGGTGAAGGATTCAAGTTGTAGATAAGACATACATTTGTGAACATGACTGACTTGCAGGACTGTTTTGCTTGACTATGATTATTTGTTACAAGCACTGTGCTTTTCTTTCTTCTACTGGGGATGGGGATTATTGGGAGAGGGAAGAAGGGAACTTATAACAGTATTGCTAAAGGGGGGAGGGGCCTGAAGCATTTTTTAAATGAACAGTAGTTCAAAAGGAAAGAGACAAGCAGGCCAGCTTTGAAAGTAACATGTTGAATTTATTATAATTTTTTTAAAGCAAGCAGCACATGATAAATTCAGGGTTTCACATATAATCTTTTTTTTCTGTTCTATTTGTATAAAGAAATATTAAGTTCAGAATGAAAAAAATTAAAAACAAATTTCATTTGATGTTAGCTCATCATCCCAAGATGAACAGGCAGACCAAATTAAGTAATCTAAACCTGCAGCAGTACCGACCTCCTAAAATAAATGGCTCATTCTGATTAATTTCCCTTACAAATGAGTTCCATTTTTCCCTCCATATAAAACAACTCCTATTTCCTCCTTGCTACTTTTCAATCTCTTAGTGCTACCTTTACACCCCACTGCTCTACAACAACCTGGCCAATCTCCAAGCTAAGCTTTAAAAACCTGCAACAAGCTAAGCCTCTGTATAAAGCTCACATCAACAAGTGGCAGATGTCTAGAAAGCCCAAAGGGAGTCTAGCTCAATTTTCCTACACTGTCCAAATAGTCAATACAAAAATCTGATGGGTTGGAAAAGATCTCAGAGGCCATCTAGTCCAACAAACAAATGATTTAAAGATCCCCACTATAACAGCCCCAACAAATCATCACACAGCCCTCACCTGAGACAATGGAGGTGAACTCAGATTAATTGCAGTAACAATCTCAGTCCCAAAGACTGAAATACAATCTAGTCCAGTCTCAAAGAACACGACATGACAAACTTACTTCCTCTTGGTAAGAAATAGTAGGACTAGGGGGCAGAATGTTGTAGCTGTTTTTGGATGACGTCTCTGTTGGTCAATTTTGCTTAACTGTTTTCCTTTGTTACAAGTGTGGGTCCAGTTTAGGGAGGGAGTATTTTCTTCAGAGCATGCACCCCCAAATTCCTTCAACTGCTCCTCATATGGCATGGCATCAAGGCTCCTCAGCATCCTAGTTACCTACTTATAAATATCTTTCCTAAAATGTGTTGTGTAAAATGGAACACAATATTTAAGGAACGGTCTGGAAAGGGCAGAATGCAAGACTGTCATCTTATTCCTGAATGCTATTCCTCTCTTAATTTAAACTAAGATCAAATTAACTTTTTTGGCTAGCCATATCATCACACCTTTGACTCCTATCAAGCTTGTCGTTAACTAGTCCCATTCCCGTCTTTTTTTTATTTTTTGATGAAGCAATCAGGGTTAAGGGTTAAATGACTTGCCCAAGGACACAGAGCCTAGTAAGTGTTATGTGTCTGAGGCCGGATTTGAACTCAGGTCCTCCTGACTCCAAGGTCGGAGCTCTATCTACTGCGCCACCTTACTGCCTCCCCATTCCCATCCTTTTAAAATGAATTATCCAGCCACACTTACTCCATCTTGTACTTAAGAAGCTGCCCTTCAGAAGTGAAGTATAGGTCATTTATCCCTATCAAATTTATCTTACTAGAACTGGTACCAGCTGAAATCTTTTTGCATCCTGATTATGCCATATATCAACCTGTTTTGTACCATCTGCAAAACTTATAAGTATGACTTCTATGCCTTCACTCAAACTGACTAAAAAAAAAAAGGTTAACTAGCAGAAGGTCAACACAGATGTCTTGAGCATTGTGTTAGAGACATCTTTACAGGGAAGTCTCTAGATCAGGAGTGGGGAACCTGCAGCCCTGAGATGACATTTGGCCTTCTAGGTCCTCAAGTGTGGCTCTTTGACTGAATCCAAGCTTCACAGAATTTGTTCTTGCGCTTGCTGCACTGTAGAGTTTGTTCTGTGAAGTTTGGATTCAGTCAAAGAGCCACACTTGAGGACCTAGAAGGCCAAATGTGACCTCAGGGCTGCAGGTTCCTCACCCCTGGCCTAGATTCTATCACAACCAGCTGAATGAGTACTTCAATCTACATCACCAGCTGGCTCATGGAATGAGGTGTCTTACTGCGATCTCTAAGGAGGTCCTGTCCTAGGGTTGACTTAACCATGTCCCTAAGGAACATGGGTGACAGAGTAGAAGCTTAAATTGGGGAATATTAGTTTCTGGAGATAGAAGTCTTCTTTTACAAACAACAATATTAATAATTTACACACATTTATTTCACTTTAAGATTTACAAATCTTTTCTCTTTAACAGAGATAATGAATATTCTTGGGCTGACTAAAGAGGCTCAAGCTGCTCTTAGGTGATCTACTATAGATACCTATGGCTCTTTAAGGTAAAAAAAAAATGGTCCATAAAGAGTGGCTGACCAACTAGCTATGAAATTGCCTCAGTTGATCAAGCTTCTCCTAAAACAGTTACTTTCCAAAGTGTTCCTTATATAGATGGACCTAATAAATATTTTCCTGGGTATCTGGGAAATATATCTTAACACTTCAGATCCAGATTCTTTCCTGGATAGTCTAGGTAAAGCAACTAGATCAGATCTACCCAATTCCACACCAACCCTAGCTTTCCTGACCAATCTTGGATTACATACTGCCTCATTATGATTACCTCAATGGTTTTATGTTCTGTTCCTGCAACAAGGTTTTGTTATTTAACCATGACAGGTCTTCTTGATGACATTTTCACTTAAGCTGATATGAAAAAATCAAACTGTATTGTCTAAGTACTACATCACAACATAGGTGGTAGAGAGAAATGAACACTCATAGGTATACTGAACAATGCAAAGAAATCACTATGTGATGTGCCACGAATGAAGTATAAAGTAGATAATAAAAGGTGAATTTAACCACATTATATACAGTTTAAAAATGCTTAAATCTGTCCAAAAGCTATAGACTTTTTAAAGGCACATAAACTCTATTAGCCTAGATCCAACATTTCAGAACTCCATTTATCTAGTACAAATTAACTGTTCTCTTTATAGTTTTAACAAAAAAAATCTTTATACTATGAAGAAAAAAGATAGCACCTTATACTTCAATCACTTAGCAGTTGTAACTTGATTTATACAAGTGACACCAGAACTGCCATTGATTAAGTTCATAGAACCATAAAAATTTAGGGCTAGAAGGAACCTCATATATTATCTAGTCCATATTATCTAGTTCATTTCTTATGAAGGAATTGAGGCTCAGAGTGATTAACTTGCTCAAGGATACAGAGGTGGAAAGCCAAGACTAGAAATAAGGCCTTCTATCTCACCCAGTGCTCTTTCTCAATTACATGTTTAAATAGTGTAAAATGATGCTGATCAAGTTATCAATACAGATATTCTCCATTTAAAGCAAATTTATTTTTACCAGAATACCAAATTTCCAGAATTGACAAAGTAGGACACTAAGAAATTTCAGGCTGGGTTACAGTGGCACTCATTATTGAAGTGTGCTACAGTAGCCCAACTCTCTGAGACACTGTAAATATATACCAAAAAAAAAGGGGGGGGAAGCAAGCAAAAAAAGTAGTTGCACTAAATTCTAGGAGGTATAAGTGTGGAGCCAGGGGATTCCCAGGCATGGCAGATGTTCCTGTGTTCTTGGAAAAGGGTAGAGGTGATTAGGTGATTACACTTCAAAAAATACTATAAAAGCAGTCCCTGTACTACAATGCCAGCATTTAACAGGCCTGGCCATCATCTTATCCTCTTTCTTTAAGTAGGAAATTACAACTCATCAAGCTGGAAAACTTTTCCCAGAAAATACATTGTAAATTTTATAGTAACATTACTAGGAGGGATAATGGTTGGCTTTAAAAAAAAAGAAAAAAACACATATCACAATCAATTTTGTTGTAATTCATTTAAATCCATAAAGCAAAAGTGATTGTAATATCTCACTACCCCCTCCAAAAAATTTCCTTATGAACATGCCAGGATTTAAATTGCAGATATCTGATCTAAAGACATACTTTTCCACAGAGATGCACAGGACACTTTTACTCCATTTAGAAATTTAAATCACTCCTTGAGTAGAAAAAAAATTTAATGCTTGATAAATAGCAAAATCAAATATCTGAATACATTTGGTGCAAGGCACCTAAGTATTGTGCTTGTCAGATATTGTACTGAAGATTTTAAAACTGAATTCAATAGCTGGGAAATCAACTACTAGACTATGCTAACGCAATCTAGCACACACAGGATGCACAAATAACAACCACTACCATGACATTTTTTAGTCAAATTAAGTCTAATTTAGTCTAAATTAAGCAAGAGGAAAGAAAACGAATTACCATTTAAATAGTGGAATTGTAGGAACAGTAAGGGATTTTTAAAAAATTATTTCTTACTGAAAAAGATAAGTACAAAACAAGGTTGAATTTTTTAAAGCACTGTGAAACACAGTGGCAACTATTTGGCAATAACCATAAAAGACAAGACATGTTCCACAATCTTTGCAAACTAGCATCCTGCAAACAATCTTTGCAGCTGAAGGGCTAAAATCAACCCTATTTTGCCAAATTTGAATGTAAAGTTTATTATAACATGGTATTTAGTGACAAAAATTGATTTCATATACCTAAAAGCAATTTGGCATACTGTATGTAGCTTTGAAAAGCCAACTTATAAATTATAACATTATATTAATTTCTGTAACTGAAATAGTCTTCATATAAATATAAAACACATCCTCAACTATCTTACAAAGGAGCTGTTTTCCAAACTGAACATAAAAATACTAAGATGAAGTTAATGAGAAACAATCTACACATATGCACAGAGCAATAAGTTTAAATCAGACTAATTTGAGTTGTGTAGCCCTTTATTAGCAACTAAAATAGAAGGTATCTGTTGTACAACATGGGTAGTAGTTGACTATACTGGAGATTTATTATATTCTAATACAGATCATTTATAAATGCAATTTTCATTATTAAAAAGCTTCCACCCTTTTTTGTTTGTTTACAATTTGCAAAACTATTCTGAAAGCTGAATACATGTGCACAGGTCTGCAAAGAGTGCAAATTTAGAATATGGTAAATGCTTTACAGGTTGTATTTGAAGGACCATCTGCCACCATGACTTTACATCCATCATCACTTTTTTAAATTATAAAATATTTTGAAGCCAGCCTTCCTTCATTGTCCTAAACAAGAAAGCATTTTATAATGAGTTGAAATTAAGGAAGGACTACACCTACTAGAAAAGAGAAGAAAGTTCTATTAATTTTGAGGTTTCAGTATCCCCAAAGACCAGGAACTGTATCTTTGTAAGGGCTAGGCTGGGACCCCATTTAGAGAATGAGTATGTGCAGGTGGTATCCCTGAGTATTCAGAGCTTCAGTGGACTGTAAGTGCTCCAGCTGCATAACTCACTGAACTGTCTTGCCAGTTTCTACACTGGCTTGACTGGGCATAATTCAAAAATGAAAAGCTCATATTCATTCCATTCTTCTGGAGCTCTGTGATAGCCTAAGGAGAAGAGGGGGAGAAAAAACATAGTTAGGACACAAATTATACATGAAATAGGGACTGTTAAATAAGTAATCAGTGACTATCTCTTCAACTTCATCAATAGTTTCTAAACCTATTTACCTTTCACCCTTCTTTTTTGTTTCTTAAAAGATTTGGGGCTGCTTTCACATTAAATAGGGTTAGTAAATAATATTCTGATGGTTTTTTTCTTCAAAGTCTTTCCTCAAGTTAGCAACTATTATCACTGTGGAAAATACTCACCTCATCATTGGTCAAAACAATAAATGTCAGTCACCTTAAATTTTAGTTCTTCTTTTTCCCTACATTAAAGAGGCTCCTCTTAAAATACCCATCTCCAGGCCCTCATTAATTTTAGCCTCAAAGATAAATTTCTGATTATTTTACCCTTGAACTATGGAAGACTTTCCCTTACCAGTTAACTCAATGAAATGCTGATTCAGTTTAGGTTCATCTATAATATTTTGATGCCCTGATTTCCAAAATTCAAATGAGATAATATATGTAAAGTATTTTGCAAACCTCAAAGATCTATAAAGCTCAGTTGTTTTTCATTTTTTAAATATATAAGCTTAGTCCCAGTACTAACTGCTTCCCTCAGATGTAATTCATTCACTAAAAAAGTATTAAGTGTTTTCAAGATGCCAGGCATTGTGGTAGGTGCTGTGGATACAGGAAGAAAACCAAAACAAACTAAGAAACCACTTCAAGGGACTAACATTCTACTAATTAACATGCAATTATTAAGTAAAGATAAAATATAATACAAAACGATTTTGAGGGAAGCAGTAGCAACTGAGGAAATCAAGAATGGACTCATAGATGAGGTGGCACTTGAGTTAAGAAGGGAAAAAAAACTCAGTTTAACTGAGTTTGGATTCTTACAAACTGCCAATATATATCCCTGCAGGCAATACAAAATCCTTAATCCAAAATGTCCCCTCTGTACCAACCACTGTGACCATATTACTTGAAATCATCTCCTTAAAAATCTTCAACTGATTACTTCCAAATCACACTGGACACACTGGGTATCAACATTCTGATGTCAAACTCTGCCCATTTATATTCTCCTTCACGTTAAATTTTTCAACTCTAAAACATAACTTCAGAGCTGAAAGAGATGTGGCAATCATAGTTTAAGCCCCTCATTTTTGGAAAGAAGAATATTAAAGTAAAGCTGCCAGGTCTCACAACTAGTGAAACCAGGATGAAAACCCCAAATCTCCTGGCACCTAATCTGATTCTGTGTCCCTTCTTTCATTCTTATTAATTACCTACTCTTATTATTTGTTCTACATTTTTTCTGCTTACTAAATTAGTTTCCTTCTTCCTCTTAGGATATCTACTCCACTCTCTTACTGTTACACTGCCTCTCTAAAGTCTGTCTCACCAAAATTCTTGGTCCTTTCTCCTTCTTCTGATAAAACCACAATATAAGAAGATTGAATGTTATATACCTTTTTAAGACAGTTCCTAAAGAACAGGAACTAATCTTTTGTTTACTCTACATATGATCTACAAAAATGCAGCTTCTAATCAATATAATCTTTGAAAGGACGCCCTGGTAAGAGTTTGCAAAAGGAAATGGAATTTGATAGAATGCCAGAGCTGGAAAAAAACCATAGCTATCTATTCCAATCCTTTCATTTTATAAAGGCAGGTACTCAAAACTAACCTGAAGAGTATGACCGGCTTGCTAACAGTCACAATAGCTATCACGTACAGCCAGGAATAGTGCAGTGAGTGCTCCTTCCACAATGCTACATACATTCTTTCACTGAGATGACCAACAACTATAAGATAGCTACTCCATTCTGACAGCTTAAAAAAATATGTTTGGCCTCAGACATTTGACACCTACTAGCTGTGTGACCCTGGGCAAGTCATTTAACCCCAGTGCCTAGCCCCCCCCAAAAAAAGTTTAACTGTGCTATCATTTTAAAGGCAAATTAGAAAAAAGGTACTATGAGTATGTCCAGTCATGAATTAATGCCAATCACTTCATTCTGGATGGGGACAAACTCTAAAGTCAAGGTTTCACAGGAGTACTCACATTTAGCAACACCCCAATGGGATGTCTTCCACATATTGTGTTATGGTATTTCTTCAAGTAATTGCTAAAAGATACGGGGTCTAGTTGTTCTATAATACTCATGCCCTGGGGGGGTGGAAAAAAAAAAGAAAACCTTATTACTTTTAATTAGGCGTGGGAAATGTTCCTTTAAATAGCTAAGTATCATAATTGATTTTTTAAAACACCAAATAAATTTAGTGAAATATCAAATTACAGTAATATCTCTTATAGTCAACTATCAATTACCTATGCAGTAATCTACAGAAACATCTTAATCCTTTATTCTGATCAAAGGCATGTTTCTGACTCTGGGCTGTTCATATTCCCTGAGCACACATCATTTTTCTATTTTGTTTATTAGGCAAATGCTACAATACATTCTAAAGTTAAATATAAATATTTCAATTGTTTGTTATATTTCAATATTTATGTCACCATTATCCTTTTGCAGGAATAACTGACTACAAACTTTTATTATTTATATAACATTTCTCGAACACCCAAAGTGTGCAAAACACTGTAAACGTAGCAACAACAATCCCTAAGGAATGAAACACTCGACCATTTGCCAAAAGATTCGCTATTAAATGAGAGGGAACCAGAAAAGGGAGTAATTACGAATTAAAATTAGTAAGTTAGAGTTATTTTTAAAGAAGGTAAAACCCACAGGTTGATGGTAGCAAAAAAAAAACTCTTTTACAAACAAAAGGTAGAAAGAGGTTTTGAACATTTCCACTTCTCCTTGGAAGAGTGATTCTTCATCCATTTAATTCAGGACTATCTAAGATAGAAGCATTCTGCACATGACTGGTGGTTAACAAATATTTGTTGGATTACTAATCGACCAGACTCAATACTAGGAAGGAAAACCTAGGTGCTTGCTCACATTAATCTTTAATATAAATTATAAAGAATCATAGAATTTGGGAGCTAGAAGAAACTATATAAATCATTTAGTCCAAGTGCTTCATTTTAAAGATGAAAAACCTAAGGCCCATGGTCCCAGTTCTCCTGACTTCAAGTCTGTTATTTCTACTATGTGTGAGTTCATTACATCACCTGCTTATATACAGACACTAACAACTTTTGCTGCTATTAGCCTAAATAAAATAATTAAAATGAGATCCAGACTAATCCAGACCAAAGGATGTTTTATCATCCAATTTCATTTTTTATGTCAAATGCATGTTAGGTGTTCAGTAAAGTAGATTAGCACATGTCAAGAGAAATAAAAGGTAGCTAAGAAATTACATCAAGAAAGAGCTAAAAGTTCATTGAAATACACTTAATGCTTGCTTTCATTTCATGGAATAATTTAAATGAACTACATAAAATATCTGAGAATAATTTATTGAACAACTATAATATAATAGTAATATAAATAAGGGAGGGGAAAAGTGGAATAAAGCAATAGGTATGGTGTGCATTTGTTTTTGTAAAACAGTTTTCTTTCAAGGTGGTTAAAATATTTCAAATACATAATATCACTAGATCTCTTGAATCTTCTAATTGACTATTATTCTATCTCATTATCATACAAAGGATTCTTTGTACATTGGAACCTGTTACTGTAAATAATGACCTTGACAGTCTACACTATGAGGAACATTTGAAAGTTTTTTTGCATTTCAGTAACCAATTCCCTTTGGATATAGTTGTAGGTCTCTGCCTTAAACTGAATTATATTCTATAACAAAGAGGGTTATAATGAGGTTAGTATAACTTTCCATTTTAATAACAAAGCATTTTAGGCAATAGTTTTATTTCTTCATTTTACAAAAGTAAAGCAATTTTTTTGTTTCATAAAAGCAACCTAAGGAATCCAATCATACTTTCAGACAGAAAAACACGAACCTATAGAATAAGAGAAAAAAATGATTAAACAGGAGGATATATAATGACTGAACAATGGTTAATGAACCATAGCACTGAGGTAAAATATCTGGAATGATAAGAAATACTGAATCTGAGATAAAATTTTAATGAACTGGATGTGTCATTTACCTGTTAATACTTAAGTCATTACAATCCTACTCATCTATTCTTCAGCAAATATGTACTTAGTGTACTGTTTTTATTTCTTTGTTTTTGTAAAGCAAATATGGCCACCATCTCAAAGTAAACTGCCAGTATCTGAGTTTCATAGATTAAGTAAATTTATTTTAAAAAAACTTTGATAAAATAACAAAATGAGATCACAAAATATCAGCAAACTGAATACAGTACATTTGCCAAAAAACAGCTATGGAATCAAATGACCCTCAACAACTAGTTCAATACAATTAACAAAATTATTTGACACTAAAGAAAACGTATCACAAAATGATGGCTTAAGAAAGTTTTCTTACCCTTCAAATATTTTTTCAAGAATAAGATGTAAATATGTTTCTACATGACTGAACATATATAACCTATATCAAATTGCTTAACGTCTTAGGGAGGGGGAAAGTAAAGAAGGGAAGGAGAAAATCTGGAAATCAATTTATTTTTTTAAATGAATGTTAAAAATTATCTATAGATGTAACTGGGAAAAAACAAAACACTATTAAAAAAAAGAATATATTATCAATGAGTGGCAATTTCAGGCAAATGTATTAACTTTCCAGACACTGGGAATATTTGGAATCTGATCCCTTTAAATCCAAACCAGTTTAAAACATACTAAAATGTGTCCCTATCCATTCATTTCTAAGAAATGAAGTTTCCTTCATACACAACAAAAATCTCAGATACCACAATCTACTCTGAAGTGATAGCAGCATCATCAAGACAGCCTAGGCTTAGTTTGAAACAAAAACTAAGTCCTTTATACCTTTGCAAAATCTAACCCAGAAAGTAAACTCAACTCACAGTGTGGTGGGGAGAACCTCTAATTGCCAATGTTCACGTGGTATTCTTGGCTAAATATATTTTATAAATCAACATATTTTATATGTTAATGGTTTTCGATAAGACCTGCAAGTTCTGACCTTGATGTGGCAACAAAGAGGAATAAACATTGTTCCTCTATATATGTATGACAAGGCCAATTCTAGCCAATTGAATCAGAAATTACCACCTGAAGGAAAAATTAAGTTCCCCAAATATAACAACCATGTGGCAATCAGTAGCAGAACATTTTCAAGAGTGTTCAGATATAAGACCACAAACTATAAAAACTATTATCTACTCATACCATATATACTATCATAGACTTAAATAATTTACCAAATCATTAAAATTAACATTTATTTTGCATTTTTAAATGGGACATAGATTTATATGGATGAGAAGAAGGGTTATGTTCTGCTTTTTTTTTTTAAAGAAGGATAGCTCCAATGTTGCATGATATCTTAGAACAAGGGTCAGCAAACTATAGCCCTAAGGCACAACATGGCCCCTCTAGCCTGTGATCCGTTTTGCACATTTCTGTATTTGAAAATGGAAAAAAAAAAAAAGGAATCTTAGATCTTAAATCTTAGATTTCTGGGGAAAAAAAAAACAAACAAGTAGGCTAAGTTGTGGGCCATAGTTTACAACCCCCCAGGTCTAGAACAAAGGGCCAAATCTTATAAGATGAAATTTCATAGGGAGAAATGTATACTTGAGGTTTTTGGTGCTGGTGTTGATGGCAGTGATGGTGATTGCAGTGGTTGTTGTTTTTAATGAGCTGTATCTAGAATGGGAAGATATAATTATTCCCTTTGGATATAGTTTCACAGTTTATGTAAAAAAAATCTAGTAGACTGCAAGCTCGATGAGTCAACAGTAGACTATAGCCACAAAAGCTAACGTGATCTTAGGCTAGGCTACATTAATAAAATAAGGGAAATGGCTGGCCAGTTAAACTTTATCCTAATTGGACCACCTCAAGAGTAATGTGTTGAATTTTGGAAATCACATTTTAGGAAAGAAATTGCTAATCTAGAGATCATCCAAAGAAACTAGGATACTGAGGGCAGGCCAATATGAAGATCAACAAAAAGAAGGGAGAATGTTTAGCCCAGAGAAGAAAAGTCTTAGCAAAGTCATGAGAGCTATCTTCAAAGCTATATAAGAGCTGTCATACCGAAGAATAAAGAATTTAACTTGTTTAATAGGCCCCCTATTAAACTGAGAGAGAGGGTCAACAGGTAGAAATGCAAAGAGGTAGATCTGGTTTGACACAAATAAAAATTTTCCAACAATGAGAGACAGTCAAAATCAGAATCAGCTACTCTGGGAAGTAATGGGTTGTGCTTCATTGAAAGTCTTCAAGTGGATGCTGAATAATCATTTTGGTCAAGAACGTAAGTAGTAACTGATGTTCAGGTACAAGATGAACTAGAGGACCTAACAAGTCTCTTCTAATTTTTGAGATTCTTAATAAACTTCTATAACAATTTCCTATTCAAATTCATAAGGTAGTAGTGAGGTATAGAAAGATTCCCTAAAAAGAATGCTCTATGAAATTTTTGTGCCATAAATGATAAAATAAAATCTATTATCAAGAGAATATGCATTGCTATACCACCTGTTCTGGGGGGGAAAAGTGCCAAATGTCGCTGCCAATTTGTACCTTCTGCACAAAATGGACAGAACAGAAGAAATGACAATAAATTGAAACTCAAATTTACAAAGTAGTTATTTGTTAAAAATCTTTACTAATAAATAGAGCAGAGAAAAAGTTGTAATATGCTGCAATGAAACAATGGCTTGTACTTCTAAAAATAGCTTTAAAATACATCACATACAACTTGTCTACTTATGAACTATTTTAAAATAACATCCACATTTACAAATGAGTCACCTATAGCTTTCAAAAATCCATGTTATACTGTATCTTCTGATCTGGTTACAATAGGTACTCAAACAACAAACATTTTTTTTTAAAATTATAAACAGTTCTATCACAAGAAGCCTTTCATTATCTACTGTGGAGGGGCCCCCTGAACTTGCTGAGTTGCCGCATTTTCCAGAGATAAAGTCCCTCCCTCCTCCCCCAGTTTCCCTTCTCCCCACCAAACTAACGTAACAGTGATCTTTTGCAACTTAAGCCTATTAAACTTTCAGCCCTTGAAGCCAAGTCAGCTACAAGCTGGCTCTAGCCAGTCTAGCCAGACTGA